TATTTTACTGTTGTGATTTTTTTTGGATACACCTGTATTGCAGTTTTTGTTATATAAAGTTTTTGGACAGTATATTTTTGTATTTTATTGATTGTGTTGTTACACGTGCATTTTTGTCAACATACTTGCAGGTTCATAAAGGACATGTACCATGCTCATTTCCCAAATGAGGAATTTCTGTTATCAGGACAAATTGGACAGCGCAAACACGAGTCCGCACTAGAGAATATTTACTGTATATTTATACATACCCTTGTGAGATTTAGTAAGAAACGAATATATAGAGCTGACATTTTTTCCCAAAATGTGCCCCTCCCCCAAAAAAGAAAAAAAAGTCCCTCTCATAAAACAAATGGACTGCTAATGCCAGGATGTCACTAAGGATGAGCTCTTATTGCTGAATAAATTTAGTAATTGGTATCCAGGGGAAATGCCTTCACAATTTCCAGCTATCAGGATATTAAATCAGAGGAATGGGCTTATTCAACAGTGGGATTTTATTCTTCCACACTGTTTCCGTATGTGATGTGGTATCATAGTTCACCGGCAAAAGGAAAGGATAAGATTGCCATGAAGCTGGTTTCGCTAAACATGTTCATCTGAAATTGAAAAGTCTGGTCTACCAGTTCAAGAGAGATTCATCACTCTGATGTATGAGCTATCAAGTGCCACTACTGCAGCAGATGAAGTATTTTTAGGACACAGATCATATAAGACAATCCCACCGACACACGTCAAACATGCTGCCTTCCAAGCGGGCAATATCTGGGAGCCGTCCATAGTTGGTCAGCAAGAACTTCCATCTCCTTTCAAGTGGGGACGGTTGAAGGACAGTCACAAATGGAAAGTTCTCTGGCCTTCTTTGGAACCTTTTTTGAAAATCTGCCACTAACTGATGAAGTGTGGATGTGGTAGAAGTCATTGCAAGTGTCATGATTCCGATTTACTTTAGATTACATAGATTTGGTTTTGTTTCATAGTTTGGTTTCCTCGTGTGCTTTTGTCTTCCTCGTTAGATTTTGTTTCCACCTGTTCTTGTTGTCCGGGTCCCTTGTGTTAACCAATCAGCTCCATCAACCCTTTGTGTCTTGTCCAGGTATTCCTTGTTGTCTCGTCAGTTTGCTTGTATTTTGTTCCCAGATTTCTGTCAGTTTTGTCGGATTGTTGTTCTCCTGTCATGGGTTTTTATTACTTTGAGTTATTGGGTTTTTTTCAAGACTTTGTTTGTTTTTGATTTCGAGTCTTTCCTGTGTGCCTTTCCAGTGTTCTTGTTTATATATTTTGTCCACCATGCTTCTCCTGCTCTTTTTGGGTCCACTACCATGACGCCACTCATGACAGCAAGTGCTCAAAGTTCAGCAGAACAGGCTCTACTGCACCAAGCAGTTACCCTTGTGAGATGTAGTAAGAAACAATTATATACTTATGTAACCAGGGCCCAGACTGCACTGTACATGGACAGTGGTATGCAATGTTCTCCTCACCACCGGAGATAACAGACATTTGATAATGCTTGCGTATTAGTGAAAATAATGTGCGAGGGTTGACCTACCTATGTATAAAAATAATTCTTGCATTTAAAACCATTCTTGAGTCAATGGGCGTGTGGTGCAATGAGCAAAAATCAGGCCTCGGATGGGTGGGTCTTTTGTGAGAATTTTAGATGGATGGAAGGTAGAAATTGGCATTTGCACTGTTGTGGGAGTGAACACAGCCGACTTGTAGGCAAATTGAAGCGGCTCATCTCATTCCCTTTAAATTCAGTGCCATAGAGGCGCTTGGTGTATATAAATCAGGATGTATGTATTGTATTGTACATGGTGGAAGGAGTCTGTGCAGGAGATCAGCACGCACAAAGTATGTTTAAAAGTAATTGCAAGAAGATCTCCACTTGCAGATGATGTAAAGTTGGGCACTTGGGGATCGCCTTCTACTGTGTGTCTGTATGACAAAGGCCCCCAACCACACACATACCCAAACATAAACTACATTACAATTGTTAATATAATAATCATAATCATAATAATATATTGAATTAATTGATTCCTAAAATTATTCAGAGAGTTCAGTCCACACTGTAGTCATATCCATGAATTAAATACGGCTACATCCACCACACGTCAGCCCTGGCTGACTGTTATTCGATCAAATCCGCTAAAATCACATGCACCACAACTTGGACCTGCTTTCTGTTGGTCTCAGATCTTGTCTACTTTCTGTCAATAAAATGTGAGGTGCACTTGGGGGCTGTAATCGAAAACCCCCTTGGTCCACTGGATGCCCAGCATAGCGTAGCTCAGTTTGCCAAATTTCCAAACTATATCTAAAATGGACTTGCCGCTGCCTGGCACGAAAATAACGATGTGCCAGTTTTCAAGCTGAATGCATGTGCGACTGTCTGTGAAAATAGAGCTCTGACTGTTAAATGTGTGAGATGAGCTACTCGCAGGCTCCCAAAATGTATATAAATTTCTAAATGCCGTACAAATCATATTTATTAGAATGCAGATTCAAACAGTTCTCATAGGCTTTACCATCTTGCATGCAGCCCTTGTAAACTAATTTCCAGACCTGCCCAATATATAAAATAGAGGGTGCACAGTTGCACTGGTGAGCCAGCAAACTGTGACTGCATATAACTGATGTAACGATCAAGCTACTGGTTGGCACACAAGAAAAATGGGGTGAATCTGGAATAACTGAAGGTATGTTTTAATTGAGCAGAAAGTTAATAGGTGCAGTGATCTCACAGCCATCTGCTCATCTTGATATTTGTAATTCCTGATTCGTTTTTATAATTGAGCGGGGAACTTATTTTCAAAGTCCATCAAAATGACCACTGGGCATTAATGTCCAAGTGCCTCCATGGTTACAAGCTCTGGTTTAATTGATGAGTTTCTGTGTGTGTATGCGTTGGTGTGGAGGAAGGTAGCTGCTAATTGACTGACTGTTAAAGCTTTTAATGAAGAGTGGGCAGTCAGCTCTCCAATTAGCTGCGGGAGCCATCAGGGGGAAGAAAGTGGAAGGGTGCTCAGGAGAGAGCGTGTGGTGGGGGTGGAAGTGGTTGCGTGCGGATGAGTGCAAAGAAACAGAAGCACACTACAGTCAGAAGTGGGGGAACTTACTCAAAAGGGGTGCAATTATTTATCATGTTTTGTGAGCGCCCGCTATTCATGAAAAAGTGAAAATTAGCCTTCAGTTATAGTGGATCAGATTCAACTTTGTTGTCTTTACAGTTGTCACAAGTGCAAGGTAATAAACTATACATTGCCTCTAACCGGGACTGCATGAGCAGTAGTTTGATAGACAGTATATAAAACGTGCAAGGCATGCAATGATACATAGTCGATTTATTAAGTAGTCTTCCAACCCCTATTCAAATGTGAGGTTTATGTAATACACAAAAAAAGAGACCAAGATAAATCATATCAAAACTCTTAGCACAGTATATGTGCCTGAAACTCTACAACTGGAAATGTAGACACACACACACACACACACACACACACACACACACACACACACACACACACACACACAGTGGAACCTCTACTTAAGAAATTAATTGGTTCTGGAAGAAATTTCTTGACTAGAAAATGTTGAAGTAGAGACGCATTTTCCATGTAAATGCCCTAATCTGTCCCAAGCCCCCTCAAAATTAAGACATAAATGTTTTCTGAAGCATAAAAGTGCTTAAAAAATGTAACAAATACATGTTACAATTAGATTATTGCACAGTAAATGAGACTTGTGCACAATGTAAAAAACAAAGAATAAAGAATAAAAATTATGGTCATTTAACTTTTAATTGCGTCCTCGCCGTTTTTTGCCCTCTTTTGTTCATGTTCTCCCTCAGAAGTGGTTTTTGCCTGGTGTTTTGTCCCGAACCGATCCAAGGACGTTTGCTTTTAACAGTCCTTCAAAAACGTCCAAGGCAAACATCAGCATAGTGAGCGATCGCCCAACTCGTGAACACTTTTTGTGGGTGATTCACATTTACGTATATCGGAACGCCTCATGGCCTGAGGGGTGAATGACGAGGACGCTGCATTGACACATTTCTATCTACACACATTAGGTAGAGGTCTCTCTTAGCCAATGGGATGCCAAGAAGATGCTAGGTAATAGCCAATGGCAGAGCAGCTCTAAGTATGTTGCAATCAGGAAACTCGGAGCTGCTTTCTTTCGTAACTAGAGGCAATATTTTCTTGTTGACGTGTTTCATAACTTGAAAATTTAATATGAAGATGTTCGTAAGTAGAGGTCCCACTGTATATGATTGTGTGTGTGTGTGTGTGTGTGTGTGTGTGTGTGTGTGTGTGTGTGTGTGTGTGTGTGTGTAAAAACTCAAGTGGTAAGCAAGCTATGAGGCATTTTTTTAATCAAATATCATGATGTGAAAGTTTAACTATGTTCGGGAAGTGTGATTCTATCTTCCATGCAAGGAAGAAATTGTCTTGACTCTTACCAGTCAAGTTGCATCATGACATAATGATTTGGTTTCAATTTGAAACAGGCACCAATCAGGGTCGAATCCAGGTGACACCCCATTTCATCAACATATTAATGTTACGTCCTAGACTACACAGGTTATTTTATTACAGAGTGCTGTTCATGCAACTTTTTTTCACACCGTCCCCAAAGTTTACAGTGTAAGCTTGCAGTGTAAGGGATATATGTGCACAACTCTGTTTGTAATGTGAGACCTTGGGCATGAGCACACTTGGAAAGAAAAAAAATCATAACTTGCTGAATTTGTAAGCAAATATGCATTTCGCCAGTGGGATGCAACCATTACTTCTTTGGAGTGGTCGTAAATTCTAAATACACTTTTTATAATAATAATAATAATAATAATAATGCATTTTATTTGTAAGCGCCTTTCACAGCAGTCAAGGACACTTTACAACCAAGAGCAAACAATAAAACCACAGATAAAAATACACACTATGGAGAAAATATAATGAACATTCATAATAAAATGTTAAATGTAGTATTGATAGATTTATTGCCAACAGCAAGGAGTAGCAACTGAGGGTCAAGGTATTTGGTCAGAGTTACAGCTGCCACCTTGTAAAACCATCTATGAATTTGACATTACTTTTTATGAGAGCTTGACATTTTTTCGGGACTCATATGGGTCACGGGAATCCCGCAGGATTGTCTCGGGATGGGAGTCAACTTCACCTTTGATCACAGGATTGGGAGGGCACAAGATAAAAAGTTCTAATGGAATAAGCATGTTTATCCATCAGAAGAAAAAAAACTCATCCATATGAGCAGTTTTGTAATGTAATGACCAGTATTTGTTTGGAGACCTATTAAGCCTAAAAAAAAATCACTACTCTGTATTAGATGTAAAATATGGGTTGGACAGAAATAAACATTGATGGGATATTTTTGCTAAATATTTGTGAATCATCAGGGGTGGGGGGGGTGGTTTTTTTTTTTTTTTTTTTGGTCAAAAAACTTCACATTTTGTGTGGTTCCTTAATGGACTTAAAATGGTATTTTCTGGCCAATTATAATTATTTCCATGGTTGTACTCTGACTCAGTTGTTGCGCATAGTGACTAAAAACTTTAAAAAGTTTACATACGCCTGGAGAAATTGTGAAATATTGGAATTTGGGGGGGAAATGTAACTGATGACCGAACACGCACAATCTTTTTCTTTATCGCAATGTTTTGTTTAATGCACAACTGTATCTGCATTAAACATAACATCAAAGCATTTATTTTTCTTTTTTACAGCAGCTAATGAGCTGAAATTGTTTAAGTAATGCAGATGTAAATAAAACACAGCGGTTGTAATTAACTTGTCACAAATGGATTTGCAGTATTTAATTAATGACCGGTTTATACTTCAATAAATTGAGAGGGCAGTAAAATGCAAGACTGCAGTTTCAAAAGCTGTAGGCATGATCTATATATACATGCAGTGTTTTCTATATATATATATATATATATATATATATATATCTCTCTTATGTGTGTGTGTGTGTGTGTGTGTGTGTTTTTTATTTATTTATTTTTTTTAATTCATACGTGCGTGTATGTTCTGCAGGCGCTGTGGAGCTAAGGAAAGAGGGTCTCGAGGCTCAAATCAATCGCCTGTCCGAACTCATCGGACGACTGGAGAATAAAGTAAGCGACCATCCAAACATGCCCATACTGTGCATGGCTGTGTGTCCGCCGTCACCCTTGAATTGATACTCTTCATTCTCCTCTGCTTCACTCACTCTTAAGTGTCCACAAACTGATATGCCCTTGCGGTAACATGAAATGTGATGTTATCTTTTTTTAGCCATTCTTCTCCATCTTGCTGCGACTCATTGAAGCTAAATCAATGTATGGTTGTTGGATGCAAGAAGAGTAAAAAAAAAAAAAAAAATCGCTTTGAGGAGGGTAGCAGCAGGTTTGATCTCAAAAGGAGGAGGGCTGTTTGGTCCAGTAGAGAACATGTTAAGCCTAATGGATCCCCAGCAGACTCAGCTGTTTCTGAACGAGTGAACCACAACACCAGAAGGAGCTATGAATAACTAAAGGCAATGTGCACTTCTGGAGGCAGTGACAAAAGGAGACAAATCACTCAAAATTGTGGTAAGAAGCATTGTTTCCCAACCGGGGTTACGTGTACCCTGAGGGGTACATGAGCACTCTACTGGGAAACAATTAATATTTTGTTTCCAAGGTAAGTAAATATTTCATGAGCCCATCCATAAAATGGTATGTGGGTATAATGGTATGCGCTCCAAGTTGTTTGTTTCCCTTCCAAGACAATTATTTTGTTATTTTGATCGTTAAAGTTGAAATGCCCGTTTAAAGGGGACGAATTCAAAGGAGTTTCAGTTTTGTGGGGAAAACTTTTTATAATAACAAAGGCCGGTTCATCATTTATTTTGCTTGTGTACTTTTAAAAAGCATGTTAAAATTGTTTTCAAAGACCCACACCGTATTTATTTTGTTCGATTTGGGTTAACAAGAAGACCATGACTGAGAATTCAATGTTAAAATTAAGGAGCCTAAATAAAATTATTTTCACTGAATAATCGGTTGTGTTCCATTCTACTTTTGAAGAATCATCAACACGGATGAATAAGAGGGCGCTCATTGTATGACAAAAAAGGTTGCAAACTACTGATCTCCAGGATTGCACTGTCCATGTTCCCATTCCATTGGTTTGATGCCCTACTGTGTTGAACCGTGATCACGGTTTCTTTGTAAGCTTTAGGCCTTGGCCAGCTAATCACCCCCAACTTCGAAGGCCCCAGAGCGCCTATACTGCTCTGTAATAACCTACCTAATTGGTAACATTGTGTGGTCCAAAGTGCACCCTTTTTCTGATCTAGACGAGATTTCCATTATTATGATGCCATTATAAGCTGCAGTCGTGACAACAGCAAATCCATACAAATTTCATTTCAAGTGTCCCTCAAGTATAGCATCGGGAACAAAAAAAAAGAAAAATGTTGAACTCTCTGAAAGAAAATTGTTGATCTGTCATTCAGACTTTAAAACCATTGGGTGACAGTTGGAACTTTTTTTTTTTTTTAATTTGTACAACATCCTGCCACGACTTACTGCATACCTACTACAGCTGTGCACAGCAAAATTATATCGTGGTTTCTTCCAGTCTGATTCACACTTTAAAACTATATATATATAT